TGACCGCAATTGCGGAAAACAACTCGTGAAGATTGACAAGCCAGAAGAGCGAGGTGCGTGAGAACGCTAGGACCGTTTTTCAACCTGGATTCCCGCTCTTTTTTGGCCCTCATGTCCCTCCGTTGTCCACAAACTTGCCCCCACTTCCTCACCGCCTCGGCCGTATGTAGACCCACAGCGTATAGCGCAAGCCACGCTCAAACTTGAGCATAAGTCAAAAGTCTCTGCGTCAAGCTCACTCCTGCGGAGAGGTAGTCCGTGGGAGTGAGGTTTGGACTCAAAACCTCAGGATTCCTAGCGCAATGCCCTAACCCAAAGCATGCATTAGCATAAAGGGTCTTGCGTAAGGACCCATACTGGCAGCTCATTCCCCAGCTGTGATACAAACACAGGCCTCCTGTTTGCAGGACGAGTGACTTACCACTTGTGCTGAATTGAGAAAGCTTCCTAGATGGGAAACGAAACGTCTTCAAACCTTGGAAACCAATGCCAGTGGGTTGTTTTTTTAAACTTTTACGGAACACCCGAGCTAATAAAGAAACAATAAACTGAACAGGGACTTGAACTCTGGAACCTCAAATTAAAAGTCTGATGCTGTAGCTACTGAGCTATCCAGGATCTAAATCAACTCACCAAGATTTAAATCCACTGTCTACACCATGGACAGGGGCCAGTTAGTCCTTAAAACAGTTGGTCAATTTAAGGTCCGTCTTACAAAGCAGGGTCTAGTTACTTTCAAACCAAGTGGGGATATGAGCCCCACTTGGTTTGATTTGTTTTATATTTTGTTTTTCTTACATTTCCAGATTTTTATTTGTTCAGTGATAATTTTTAACTGCTCCTCCTGCCCACTTCTGTTTTTGTAATTTTAGGCCTTATTTCTCATTTCTTTAGTAAATTCCTAACTGCAGCTGGAGCAAATACTGTTAGTCAACCTTACATATTCCTTACACCAGTAATTTTGGTAAAGGGAACTTTTCATCTCCATAGTGACTCAACTTCAAATCCAGTTAATCATAATTTAAGACCAGATGTGGGTAGATTCCTCAAAAATAGAGTCAAAATTATCCATCCAGTATATTACTATAGTAAGAGTAAAAACATATTTGGTAAAATGGCTCCTGAAGTACTAAGACATACAAAAATGTAAAGTTATGTTCAAATTCGGATATTTTAAGGACTATGATAAAATAATAAAAGCAAACATATAATGTTGTTAAAAATACGAAATATGCGCAAAAGAAGAACTTTTTAAAACAACATTTACAAAAAACTTTCAAAACCAGTACCCCATTGACCATATTAACTCCTACTGCATATTAGCTAGACCTCCAAATATAACAGTAGGTTTACCAGATATAGAGCAAGCTTGTGTACAAAAAAGCACAATTGTTCTGATGTAAACATTTACTGCGTGTCGTTGTCTGGAGCGCTATTATTAAAATAAAACATACAAAACCTTTTTTGTGATTCAGTTAGGTTTCTTATGCTGGATAAGGTAAACAAATTTTCAAAACATATTAGTGCTGCTTTAACCAGGCAATGCAGACTGACCAGGCTAATGGTCAGGCTTATTAATCAATTCAGTCACACTGCAAAAAATGAAATCTAAATAAGTAATTTCTTCTTAAATTAAATGCATTTTTTCTTGAATTAAGGATTTAAGTGAGACACTTTGCCAATGGAACAAGACAATTTACACTTAAAATAAGAAAAAACAATTGCATTGTCTTATTTCAAGTGCATTTTATCTAGATACCTTATTTCAAGAGTAAAAACACTACTTCCATTGGCAAATCATCTTATTTACCTGCTCAAATTAAGGGTAAATACCCTTAATTTAACACATTTTTACTCATTTTGAGATCATTTTTGCAGTGCAGCGTCACACTGACCAAAAACCATTGGATTTTGTGATTGATTCCTTTTTCTTTTCTTTTTGTTTTGGTATTTTTTTTCAGCCTGCATTAAAAACCGTGAATGTATATTGTTATACAGTCATGCACTCTAATTATTTTAAGATTATATATATATATACATACATATATATATATATGTATATATATACCATTATTAACTGTATTACTTTCTATGTGGACATTCTTACTGTTTGTTTGTGTTTATAAAGATGGGTGTTGGCCTCTAATAGACTATTGCCATATTGAGGGATATGATTATAAAAGCAGCTTCCTTTACATTGGCATACCAAACTTTAAACTGTTTACCTGCATGAGTGTTACTGTTTTTCTGAGAGCAGCATGTGCCACCTGTGCAGACTGCTGGCCCCCAAAATTCAGCGTCACACAGGGAAGAGTTATACATGTATAATCATATGTTATATGTGTTGGACTCAGATTTAGATCCTAGCTCCTGTCCCTTTGTCTTTAATGGGGTCAAAAATAAGAACATAAGCCCGGTAGAAAAGGAGCTCTCGACTGCTGTGTTGAATCCAGACAGTTTTCAGCCTTATGGATCTCATTATGCAACACCATGATGGTGAATTTGAACTACAGCCTTTCAGAAAAGGAAAAAAATATATAGCAAAATGGCTGAAGCTCTCTTTTATAAACCCAAAACATTTAAAAGTGTGGACATTATCGTGTGTCATAAAGAGTACACAAAAAGAACTGTTGTATTTTTTTAAGCTACTATTTGGGCTGGGGCTATATGTGCTATCACACAAAAGATTGTGGGAAACCATATAGCTCCCTTGCAGCTGACAGGAAGGACAAGAGGTCCCTATCCTAACTGAGTAGGCCATAGGAAGCATCCTGCTTCCTTTTCCTAGTTCCTTCCTGACTGACAGCATTTTATGCCAAACTTTATTTACACAAATGCCATTTCTTCCAATATAAACTGAGCGTGACCCACTGGATTAATGACTTAAAACCTTATACCAAATTTTAAAAATGTGTTAAAAAAATGTGGGTAAAAATATCCCTTTCTGACAAACTTTAATTTATTAAATAAAAACCTTGTTTAATAAAAATGCCTTACATTTAATAGCCTCTGACTCTTCTTGTTTTGTGCTTTTGTGAAGCGTCTGTTGTTATCTTATGACTAATAAGTGGTAAAATTTTTAAATATAAATTATTTATTCTCAATAAAAATAATCCTAATCATCGTTACTGCTGACACACTTCCGCTTGTGCTTAACTAACCTTACCGATTTTCACTACTTGGTAAAACCCTTAGCCCTGCAACTTAGTTAACCCTCATTAAAGATCCTCAGTAGAGGGATGCATGTTCAAATTAAAGAGGCATTGCAGAATTTTCTAATGATCCTGCCACCTTTGGCCAAAACAGGGAACTGCAGCACTCGTCTGCTCTTTCTTGTAGCTCATGTTCACAATAATGTAATTGCAGGAACATCCAAAGCAAAGTAAATTCAGTAAAATATGCTAAAGGCTTGCCCTGCGATGGACTGGCGAGCTGTTTAGGGTGTACTCCGCCTCTCGCCACGCCAATTGGGATTAAGCGTGTCAGAAAATGGATGGATGGATGGATGGATGGATGGATGGATGGATGCTAAAGGCTTTTAGATGAATCAGCACTGAGCTGCCGAGGTGTCAGTCTGCTTCTTAAACAATGTTTTAATCATATAGGGTCAAATAAAAAGGCTGCTTTAAAGATTGTGTCAGTAAAACATAATAATGTAATTACATAATGTCTCTTCTATAAGTTTAGCAATGTGTTGAGTAAAATACTTCCTTATAAATGGCTGATGAAGTCTAATTTAGCTGCTGCTCCCTGTCTAGAACAACCTATTGTTCTTTTATTGGAGTATAAACATTTTTTTAACAAGGTTAATATGAATTTGTTTATTAGAAGTAAAGTGGGATTTGCTCAATTGTGTATTTTAACCTTATCTATAATTTAGTTTTGTACCTTTAAATAAGAAGATTTACAACCCATGAGAAAAATCTGTTTCTTTAAGGTCCTAGAAGGTAGTGCAATAAGATAAAATTGAATGATTCTTCTGTGTTGTAACAGTGTTTTTTTCCCGCTCTGTTCAACATGCAGTACATTCCACTTTACATCTGAAGTTACAGAATGCTTAACTTTTTGTAACAAGTGCACAACTATGACCTAATTTTTTGTATAAAAACACTGCTTGTGTCTTTTTAATGTGGAACCGGCATTATTGATTGGTGCAAATGTGAAGCAACTTAATGGTTACACAAATGAGGCATGAGTTGTTGATCATTTGAGCAGACGTTTCTCAGCCCAGCTGTCAGAAAGCTGAGCCTACCTCTTTCCTTACTCAGCAGAGAAGGGGGGGGGGGGGGGGGGGAATAGGCTCTTGTCTTTTCATTTCCTCGCTCTTTCTTCATCCTAAAGCTCCTCCCTCCTCCCCTTCCTCTGTGATGAATAGAAGGTATGAATTCTCTACGGCCTCCCCGGGTTTCTCTCCGAGGCCCTCTAGCAGCTGAACAAACAACAGGCTCTCAACTTAAAGGCGCAATCAAGAATTTATTGGAACCATGTACTGTTCGGGTATATTTGTGTATGCCCTTGAAACACTTGAAGAGAAACATGGAAAATTGTTTTTTGTGGAACGTTCAAACCACAAAAAAGTATTTTTCCTTCTTTTTTACAAGTATGGAACTGCAAACAAACCTTCTCCAAGGTCAGACTGAGCAGGCCATTTATGAAATGCTAGAGAAATGAATCTGAATGAACAGAACCATAATGTACAAGCTCAAATAAATCATAACATAAACAAAGACTTTGACTTGTCTAGGCTTGGGCTTTGAAGCACAGGACACACACTCAGAGAGAAGGTGGTGGTGGTAGTGGTTGTGGTGGGAAAGAAAAGGCACTGTTGTTGGTCCAGTCTGGAAGGGTGGTCCTGGTCAGGAGTCAGACCCAGCTGTTGGGGACTATTTATCCATGCTACACCTCCAGTGGTTGTGGTGGTGGCGGGCTGGATGAGTTGGCGAGGCAGAGCTTGAAACAGAGAGGGAGAAAGAGTCTGGTTGACAGGGGTGGGGGAGATGGATGAAGATGATGGGAAGCAGATGGAGGGTGTTTTCTTTCTTTTTTTTCCTTTTTTTTTTTTTTTTTTGCTTCTTCTTTGCTTTGCTATCTGCCTGTGACGCAGGTTGAGCTCTCCAGGTGCATTGTGGGAAGCCTCTTTGAGTATATGCCCAGGTTTCTGTGGTTGTGGATTAACATTAAAAGTTTGGTCCTGCGGTTTCATACATATTGCAAGGTTCCTACTCATTACTCACGTGAAAAGTCCAAATCTTTCCAAATGTCAAATGTCAGTGTTTGTATCCCTTTTTGACCAGATTTGTGATAAGTAAATAGAACAATGAAAGCAAAGGCAAGCGTATTTATATAAATAGACATTTTAAAGTTTTGTACATGGACAAAACAAGTATATTGAAAGAACAGTAAATTACAGTGGCATGGTAAAGAAGATCTAGATAAACATTTTAAATAGAACAGTCAAAGGCAACTCTGAAATAAAATGTTTTTAATCTTGTTTTAGAAAAACTAGCGGTCTCCTTACTTTTACTGTTTACTGCATAAGAACTAATAGTGGATTAAAACTGTATTTCAGAGCAGCACCAAACAAACCTCTTTCCACTGAAAGGAGAAGCTTAAGCTGCTCTGGAGATGATGTGAAACACACAGTAGAACTCTGGAGGCCTGACAGCTCTTTAACAATCTGCAGGCTGTGAAACCCAACACACACACACCCACACAAAAAAGCCCCCTCCAAACTACCCCCCTATCCCATCTATCCATCCATCCACCAATCCATCCACCCACCTCTCTCTGTGCTGCAGCAGCCAGAACATTCCTCACACATCTGGCCTCAGAGTCTTTCCCATACGCTCCCTCTCCCACCACTCTGAGCCACAATTACCCACAAGTCCTGTGTTCTCCTTTTCTCTTTTCTTTTTATGATCCCCAGACCCACCCACCCCCTCTCCATCTCAGTACGAATCATAAAAGCAGCCAGAACACAGGAGTCATTTATGGTCATGATTTAGAAGGAAAAAAGGCTTTCGAGGGTCTGCAGAGACATGCCATGCACAAATGTGTTTTTTTCTTTTTTTGTTTAGCTGAAAGTGTGTTGCCAGAACTGTTGAAAACAAGACAAACATGATGAAGCTCTTATCCATTCTGATCTGTTACTCCTTCTTGAGATAGCTGTATGCCTCTTGGGATGTTTGTGTTGCTTTGAAGGGAGCTGAGTCAAGCAGGATTCAATAAACCAGAGCAGGAATGAGCACAACTTGTGTCAATTTAGTTTCTATGGCTGTTGCAATATCAATTGACGGAAATGGAGTTTACTTAAGTATATTCTTAATACCTTTTATTGTGAATAGTTTCTAGCCCTATTTATATTTATGTCTGAAAGACAGCTGTACTGATCCAACAGTTACAGTTTAGGTTACTGATGGAATATTTATTTATTTTTCTAAAGACACCCAGAAATCAGTTTCATTAGGGTTTAATGAGGTGTTCAAATTTGATTATTTTGCAGCCTTAAACTTTTTTTTTAATGAATTACTAAATCAATCTTCCACTCAACTCTGCCCGGCTTCCTTGTTCCTGCCGAAAGAGAGAATTCCCATAAAATCACCCTGCCACTACCATGTTTCACTATAGTTTAAACAAATACACTATAAATACATATACTGTTTTAATTTTTCTATGTTGTATTGAACAGCAATGTTACAATGAGCTGTTACCTGCATATTGGATGAAGATAACAGCTAAACACTGCATCTGGTTTTGTAGTTTGGTTATGTTAGTTGTGTTGGGTGCAGTGGGTTTGCTTGGGGTGTGTTTCTTAGGTAGGCCTCATCTTGTTTTCATTTTTGTAAAAGGTAAATCGATTTCACTTTACAATATTTTTTTGCTCAACTCTTCCTAAAAGGGAAAAGCAAAAACAAAAAACGGGGCCTAAGAAACATGTCAGCATACAGGAAGGCGCTTTGTTGTTGCTCCCTGCCAGGAAACAACTATTGTTAAAAGTACACCAGCATGTTTTCTTTTCTTTTTTTTTCTCTGAAAGCACTGTTTACTCTTGTTTTGCCTGTAATCTCAGGCCAGTCACTCCTGTGCCTCCCACTGCTGGCACTCTGTCACACATTTGTCTTGCAGCTCTTGTGTTTTAAGATAGCGGCTTACTTTCACACAGAGGGAACAATTGTTGCGACACTTGAGTGCCTGATATCTGTATTGGATTAAAGGTTTGTTTGGAGCTAAAAAACACCCAGTAGAACTGGTATGGTGGGAAGGATTCTGGGTATAAGAGAGGCTTCTTTAAGGACCTCACAGTACCTGCATGTTTCAAGGAATATTGGATTGTAGAGGAAAAAAGGGAAGTAAAACTTTGTTTAGCCATGCATGTTAGTATTTTAAAAAGCAGCCAATGAGTCACAGTAGTGGTCCGTGTTTGTTCAGAGGAAGGAATTTATATACTTACCAAGAAACACAATCAAAGTTTCAGCTTTCTACCCCCAAACAGATTTATGATGAACATCTGAAGGAGTAATTCAGCACCTACACGGTTCATTTGTTTTATTTAAGGAACGTTCCATTGTTCCATTTGGCTCCTGATGGTGTGATCTTGGGTTCTTAACTGCGAGCAACTTTTCACACAGAGGTGATGATGTAAACCAAGTTTCTATCTTTGCAACAAGCTGGTCAGAAAGTAGTGTCATGAGTTTACTCAAAAACTGTAAAAGATAGCATCTCCCCTGCGGTGTTTCTCCTCTGACACCATGAGATCATTTCTTATGGTATTCTATCTCTTCATCATATGAGACTCTCCATTCCTGCTCTCCATACTCAAATGTCCTTAACCTGCCTTCAATTGAAATGGAAATATAAGCCCCCCCGCCCACAGACACACACACACACCCCAAAATGCGCCGGGACGTTTTGAAAACTGGGATATTGCTCCTAATGGATTCCAAACACCACAAAAGTTTATTAGGAAGCAGGGCATCGTTAAAGTAGGAGCAGGGAGGGGGTTGTTTAGGAGGGGTGTAGCAGGAGGGGGGATTTGGGGGGTTGGGGGGTGTTGAACACACTGGTATTCATATGGAAAAACTTGTAACAAAGGTTACATTTTAAAATATTCAAGTGTCAGCTGCCTTTCAAATTGCATTAATCGTGCTATACACAGTGAGCCTGTGAGATTACAGGACTAAAAATTCAGGACTGTGGACTTTGACTGGAGCAGAGTCAGAGATTTGATCAGGACTTGATTTGGTTGTTGTCTAGGACTGATGACTTGATTTTGACTTGAGGATCAAGTTTTTACTCCTCATTTAAGAGTTAGCTCATTATAATGTTAATGACTTTAAATGTAAGCCCTAGGACTTGGACTTGGCTGGTGATTTGTTAAGCTAGGTTTTATACTACCACAGCGCCTCAAAGAAGTTCCTGTTTTTTTTGTTGTTGTTGTTTTTTGCTAGTCAAGTAAGTGTAAGTGGTTGGGGTGATTTTATTTTGAAATTCACCCTGACTGTTTGGCTTGTGAACAATAGCTTGATGCAGAGACCGCTGCACTGTCAAAATCATTTGTTGATCCACGCAGCCTCAGTAACCACACCCACACTGTGCTGGGCTGATCTAAGAATATACATTGATCTAAAAATTGGATAAAATGTTAGTTATCAAAGGAATGGAGCTTTAATTTGTTCACAGTGAGGAATGGATGGTTATTATTTTCAGTCACAAAACTAACTAAGTTTGTTACGTCACATCTGGTGATTGGCTTTTGAATTGACAGGAGCTAAAGAGATTTTGTTTTCATTCAGATCGAGAACTTTTTGCTGTTATTTGCAATAATGGGAAATGTACGGTGGCCCTGAAGTGCAAACTGCAACTACAAATCTAAAAGCGCAACTACATTAATGAAATTGCAACTACATAAAGCAAAGTGCAACTACATTAAGAAAAACAAAACTACATAAAGCAAAGCGCAACTACATTAAGAAAAACACAATTACATTAACCTACCGGAAAAGGTAGGTACCAGTGGGAAACATGAGACATCGTTGATTGGACGACGGCGCCGTTTGACCCTTGAACCAGAAGTTGCGTCGTCTGAACAGTCCAGCTTCTTTTAAGTGTGTCTTCTGTGTGCGCAAACTAACTGAAATTTCGTGGTTAGTCTTGAGCATATCCAGTATCACCTCGTACGTATGTCCTGATTCAAAATATTCCTGGATAACGGCAGCTATGTTTGGGGCGCCGACAATATCCATGTTTTCACAAGCCGCAGCAGGCAGAATGACTTCCTGTTCAAGGGTCAAACGGCCCCGTCGTCCAATCAGCGATGTCTCATGTTTCCCACTGGTACCTACCTTTTCCAATAGGTTAATGTAATTGTGTTTTTCTTAATGTAGTTGCACTGTTCTGTTTTTCTTAATGTAGTTGCGCTTTGCTTTATGTATTTTTGTTTTTCTTAATGTAGTTGCGCTGTTTTGTTTTTCTTAATGTAGTTGCTCTTTGCTTTATGTAGTTTTGTTTTTCTTAATGTAGTTGCGCTTTTAGATTTGTAGTTGCAGTTTGCACTTCAGGGCCACCGTAGAAATGTGTAATGCATTACTCCCGAGAAGGTAGTGAGGTCTTTGAATGGCCTTAAAAAGACTAAAAATGTTCCTCGTCTGACGGGACGTCAGGCTTTAACAGTTAAAGGATCTGTTCATCGACTGGATTCTTTTTATGATCCGTTGAAATATACTCACTTGATGAATATTCAAAGTATTTTTGCCATTATCTCTATCCGTTTCAGTGAGTATATCCCCCACATTGGCTAGCCAATTTCCCAGGCTGTGTCCGAATGTCCGCCCTAACCACTATCTGGGGCACTATATAGTGGTTACACCATTTTAGATGAGTGTCCGAATGTCTAGTGGATGAAAAAGCAGTGAACTTGAAATTTCTCATGGTCACTAGACTAAAAAATGCTTTATGTTTAAACATTCGTACCATAATATATCAAGTCTCTAGTGTTGAAGGTTTTACCGACAAGAGAGCAATAAGTGTGAACACAGTATTAGTCCAAACTTTGCTTTGTTTTATTCTAATTTGAAACGTTATGTGTTTCCATACCCTACAAATCTAAAAGAGTTATGTAGAATTGCGTGTTTATAATTGCTTTTAACATCCCACATATTTAGCATTTTGAACCAGCGAGGATTTATTTCAAAAGACTGGTTAAAAGTAAAGTAAAATAAAACCATACATATCATTATTAATAGAAGGCCTTTTCAGCAGCTGAGAACTCCACATACTTAAAGAGAAAAGCTTTAAAGAATAAAGCATTTTAAAATTTCTTTAAAACAAGTGTTCCTAGCAATCCAACCAAGCAGTCCTGGTCATTAAACCCATTCACTCTGTCAGCAGAACATATCATTTCCAGAACCCAAAGCTGTCTGAGTATGGAAACCATTTGTGGTAAGTCATAAAATCGCTAAATAACACAATCACCCAATTTGCATAGCAGACTTTTTGCATGGAGTTGTGACGAATATAGAAGGAAAAACAAATCATGTTTGAGAAGAAACGCAAAGTAAGTAAACCACCAGCTTAAAAAAACAGCTAAAATAAATATAACATTCCTTTTCACTTTTTTAAAAACAAAACACACTGAAAATCTAGAAAGATACAAAAGAGACAATCATATTGCAGTAATTTATCCCAGACTCGCTTACATAGAGGCAATATTGGGATTTTATGTTACATTTAGAAGATTCATTAACACTGCTAATTTGGAGGGAGCATCGATAACCATGTTTCCATCCAACTGAAATGCGAATTTTGGGCAAGCTTTTAACCCTTTAAAGCCCGATTCAAGAAAAAAACAAAATAGAAAATTACTTTTTTTTGGTTC